GCCAACCGAGGGGATTCTCCATGCTTGCCGCGAGCCGTCAAGCCCGCCTCGAGATCGCGCCATTGATCTTTGCGACCAAACGATTCACAATCGGTGGGATCGATTTGCTCAACAACTTTACTACCAATATCGGAAACATGGGCCTGGAAAGCATCGAGAATCTGACACTTGCTTGGTGTAGTAAGAAATATTCTGGGTCATCAGCAAAGGAATCTCGACGGATTGCTCCGCATTTGGCAAGATTCAAGCGTCTCAAATATCTCACCATTGTTATATGCGCTCAAGACCCTCTTGTAAACCCGACGGAGTTCATTGCGATTTGGCCATTCAAACAACTGCGCTCAGCCGGAATCAAGACCATCAACTTCAACAGCAGCTTTTCAAATTCTCTATCCAAAACAGTATTCATACCTTGGTGGAATGAGATCCTTAGACTCAAGGAGGCAGAAGGGTTCCCATAGACCACATAATGGTTGTAAAGGAACATTGGATACTCATGGAGAGAACTAATGGTGACCAGCATTGGGGATGAAGTCTCGGACTCACTTGAACACACCACCGCGAATTTGCTTAAGAGTCAACCATAGCTCTAGGAACTGAAAAACCCTTTCATAAGACGTAGATACCTATCTATCAATCAAGCTGAGTTCCCAATCAGCCTTATTATCATTGCCCCACCCGTGATGTCCCTCGTTCATCAGCAGACCATGCCGCAATCACAACCAACTCGTTCCAAGCAACGCCATAAGCCGCAGTCACTTCGCATTCCCCACTCCAGTATCCACTCATTAGTGAAATCATTCCACGCGCCTCCGCATCTCTCCATGGCCCAGGCCGCTTCAACCATCCCCACAGTCTCCTGCCATCAAAAATACTAAAAACACCACCGAATCCCATCCACCACCACTTCCCACTACAAGCTCACACCGACTAACCTAAACCTCTCTCCGTCCTCTTCTTCACTGCCACACTAACCAACCTCTCCATCTGAAGCCTCACACTACAGACAGCCGTTGTCCATACCATGTCCTGCGGCTCGGGCCATGACTGCAGCAGCAGCGATGAGTCCTACTTCACCTGTATATAGAGACGCCACGAACGACATGTGGACTGCAGCGCATTATTATGGACGGAGCACCACCGTTGGCAGTTGTGTGAGTGATTAGTCCATCCTAAGCATGGATGTGAGGAAGTCGATCATATCGTATTCGGAGTACTGGTCACGTTTAAATTGGAGATTCGATGATAGTATGCAGTCCACCAGGCACTAACCAGTCAATAAAACCTCGTTGTAATTCAGTAAGTCAAGAAGGGTCCATATTTCATACAGTCGATATTCCACCACATTTCCCTTCGGGTATTCCCCACC